AAATTACTATTGTTCAGTGGAATGTAACAGAACCCAGAGTCTCCTCAAAGTATCATTCAAAATTCTCAGAATACATAAGAAATTATTAGACATGAAAAGGAACAAGAAATTGTGACTTATAGTCAAGAAAAAATAGGCAATAAAATCCATCTCAATGTTATCCAAATATTGGAATTATCAGAAAATAATTTTAAAGCAGCTATTTTAAATATGTTTGAGGACTTAAAGGAAAATATGGTCTGAAGAGAACCTCAGAATAAAAATGATAACTATAAAAAAAGACCAAATGAAAATTCTTAACTGAAAAGTATAATATATGAAATAAGACATTCATTTATTGGGTTTAAGAGTAGAATGTAAACCATGGGTGGAAAAAAATGAGTGAACTTAAAATGAAATAAGTAGAAATTGTGTTTTCTAAAGAACACAGAGGAAAAAAAGGTTGAAAAAACAAACAAAATCCCAGTGAGCTGTGTACAGTATTAAGCAATACAATACATGTAAATTGGAGTCCCAGAGAGAACTAGAACAGAATTTGAAAAAATAATGGCAAAAAAATTCCCAAATTTGGTGAAAAACATTAAACTACAAGTTTAAGAAACCCCAAGGAGGATGAACACAAAAAAAGTGCATCAGCACATCGTGGACAACTTGCTAAATACCAAGAATAAAGAGAAAAATCTTAACAGTAGTTAGAGGAAAGAAAGCACATTACATCTACTAGGAATCAACAAACTACAGCCTGCAGGTCCAATCCAGTTCATGACCTATTTTCCATGTAGCTTCCAACCTAAGAGTGTTTTTTTATAAATACATTCTTAAAGAGTTTTTTTAAAAAAAAATATTAGGTGACAGAGACCAAGTGTATCCAACATAATCTAAAATATTTACTATTTTGTCCTTTATAGAAAATTCTTCTGATCTAGACAGTGGAAATGACAAGAATAGTGTCTGACTTCTCACTTAAAATAATACAAAATAGAACACAACAGAACAATATCTTGCTGAAAGGCAACAGAAAAATGCTCATAATTTTATATCCAGCAAAAATATCCTTCAAAAGTAAGGCAAAATGAACATTATTTTTAGATACATAAACTTGAGAAAATTCATTGCTAGCAGAACTAAACTATGAAAACTGTCAAAAGGCCATTTTTCAGGCTGAAGGGAAATGATAACAGATGGTAATTCAAATTTATATCAAGGAATGAAGAACCAGAAATGATAAATATGTGAATAAATATAGAAGGCTATTTTTAAACCTTCTCTTGATATTTTAAAAATACATATAATCACTTCTACTTCTAACTATGATGAAGTAACAAGCACCGATTTACTTTCTTAAATAACTGAAAATTTAGAGAAAATAAACGAAACAATGGTTTTCATGTGTTGGACAACAGGCAACATAGGAAAGTAATCCCAAAGAAAAGAGAAACAAATGAGGGAGCCCTTCAATTGTCCCATGTTTTTGTTCCATTTTTCACTCTACTCCACATATAGTTCCTATATTTTTAGTGAAGTAGGACAATATTAACTTTAAGTAGTATTTTGATAATTTAAGGATGCATTTTGTAATCATTAAGGCAACCTCAAAACTTACAAAGAGATACAGGCAAATAAGAAATAGAGGAAATATAGTGTAATACTAAAAATATTTAATTAACTGAAAGAAGATAGTAAAGGGGAAATGGAAGAACAGAAATCAGGAGAGGTAAAAATGAAAAAAAAGGAACATGGTAAAAATAAATCTACACTTATGGTGATTGTAAATGAAGTAAGCACTCTAATTAAAAAGAAGAAATTGTCAGACTAAATTAAAAAAAACGCAACTAAAGGCTCTCTACAAGAAATGCACTTTAGACACAAAAACAAAAATAGGTTGTAAGTAAAATGATAGGAAAAGATACACCATACAAACCATAAGCATAAGAAAGCTGAGTTGGCTCTATTATATTAAACTATGATGGCATGGGGGGTCCCTCAGTCCAGCCTGCACCCTCTCCAATCTGGGACCCCTCAGGACATCCCTCTCACAATCCTGGACCGCTGGCTCCTACCTGCTCACCTGCCTGCTGGCCTGGTCATAACTGTTCCCCCTGCTGGCCTCGTTGCCCCTAACTGCCCCCCTGCCAGCCTGCGGGTCTGGTTGCCCCTTACTGCCCCCCTGCCAGCCTGGTTTCCCCCAACTGTCCACCCTGCTGGCCTGGTAGCCCCTCACAGCTGGGATATGCTGATTAGCCAATGGGAAGGGTAGCGTCGTACGCCAATTACCATGTTTCTCTTTTATTAGTGTAGATATATATAGACTAGATAGAACTCAAGACAAGAAGAATTATCGTAGATGTGACAGAAAATTTCAAAATGATTAAAGGTAAGCATTATAACAATGAGTATGTGCCCAATAACTTAAAGATAAAGCAAAAATCAAAAGAATCAAGTGGAGAAGTAAATAATTCCAAATTAGAGTTGGAGATTTTAATATCCTTTGTCACTAATTAATAGAATAAGTAATTAAAATATCAGTAAGGAGATAGAACCAGAGTTAGCAAACTTTTTTTATTAAGGGACAGATAGTCAATATTTTAGTCTTTGCGGACCAAATGTGGTCTGTGTGGTATATTCTTCTTCTTTTTACAACTCTTAAAAAATGTAAAAGTCATTCTTAGCTCACAGGACCTGAAACAGGGTATAGGCCAGATTCAGTTCACAGGATATAATTTGCTAACTCTTGATATAGAACAGGGGTCCTCAAACTTTTTAAACAGGGGGCCAGTTCACTGTCCCTCAGACCATTGGAGGGCCGGACTATAGTTTAAAAAAAAACTATGAACAAATTCCTATGCACACTGCACTTATCTTATTTTGAAGTAAAAAAACAAAACGGGAACAAATACAATATTTGTATTTGCATGTGGCCCGTGGGCCGTAGTTTGAGGACCCCTGATATAGAAGATCTGAATAATACTATCAAATACCTTGATCTAATTAAGATTTATAAAACTACTAGAAAATGTACATTCTTCTCAAGTGCACATTAAATCATCCAGATAGGCCATGCACTGTACCATAAAGCAAGAATCAATCATATAGAGTATAGTTTAAATTAGAATTAAGTAACTATAAGATATCTAGAAAATCCCCAAATATTTGGAAATTAAGCAATACATCTCCAAATAACCCAAGGGTGAAAATAGAATTTATACTGAAAATTAGAATATATTTTAAATTAAATGATAATGAAAATACAACACATCTAAATTATACAATGTTGCTAAAACAGTGTTTAGAGAAATTTATAGCTTTCAATGCTATATGAAAAAATAAGAGAAAGAATGATAAAATAAATAGGGTAAAATTTAAGCAGTTGATGGATCAGGGATATACCAGTATAGAAGTTCCTTATTCTATTCTTATCACCTTCTGTAAGTTAAAATTTTAACAGAATAAAGAGTTCCCTCAAACCCCTTAATTTTATGTTCAGCCAAGTTGTTATTCACCTATGAGACTGGGAGTAAACACAGATATGCAAGATTAGGTCAAGATGGTAAAGTACCTCTCCATTCAAAACAACAACTATGTATGAAGTTCTGGAAAAACTTGGCAACAGCAAGCAAGAAACTTCATGTAACTACTAAAAGATAGAAATCAGATAGGATGATATCTATGAGGATAGGAGTGGGGAAAATGACAGCACAAATCCCAAGAGCAATAATTCATTAATTTTAGAAACCGAAATTAACTGAAGAATAGTTTTCGGAATAGGAAGAGTAGGTTGAGTAGGTTAGTCCCTCTGTCCTCTGTCCTGTATCAAGATTAAAAAGTTATTTCCCTTGACATTAGTGGTTTTAACTTTGGCTGCATGTTGAAATCATCCTGGGTAGCTTAAAAAAATCCTGAGGCAGATTCTGATTTAATGAGTCAGAAATGAGGCCTGAGCACCAGGCCTATGCTTTGTATTAGAGATATAGTATAAACAAGAGAGAAATAACCTTGTCTTACAGTGAGTATTAATCAAGATTAACTGAGAAGTTTGGTGCAGGAATTTGGCATGTAGCTCAAGGAACAGAAGAGAATACACAAATATATCCAAGTGAATCGATATTTCATGTAGCCTGTAAGTGAACTATTTAATAAATGAGCAATTAGAAAAAACAAAATACTAGAATACAACTACCTTCCTTTTAACAAAATAAATTCCAGATGGAATAAAATGTTAAATAAAACATGGAAATAAAAAGTACTAGAAAGAGAAGATAGATCAGCGGTTCTCAACCTGTGGGTCGCGACCCCTTTGGGGGTCGAACGACCCTTTCACAGGGGTCGCCTAAGACCATCGGAAAACACGTATATAATTACATATTGTTTTTGTGATTAATCACTATGCTTTAATTATGTTCAATTTGTAACAATGAAAATACACCCTGCATATCAGATATTTACATTACGATTCATAACAGTAGCAAAATTACAGTTATGAAGTAGCAATGAAAATAATTTTATCGTTGGGGGTCACCACAACATGAGGAACTGTATTAAAGGGTCATGGCATTAGGAAGGTTGAGAACACTGAGATAGATATTTTCATAATATTAGGTAAGTCCTGACAAACATGTCACAAAACTGAAATTCTAAGGAAAACATTATTTAAATTTACTGGAAAATTTTTTAAACTTATCTATTAGCAAAATACATTATTAACCAGTTAGCAATATAGCTAAAAAGTAAGAATATTTCTTGTGTACCTGAAAAGTTCCTAAAAATCAATATAAACATATAATATGGGCAAAATGAGGAAAGGACTTAAGCATATGTAACTTTTATAATGAAAAACTAAAATGTAAAGCAATCTTCAAACTACTATAACACCAGTGTACAAATCAAATGCTATTTGAAGATCCTCACCAAAGTATAAATCATTAGAAAATTCTGACAAATAAATAACTTAGCACACTTGATCTTGGCAATTTCATGCTTCAATTTAGGATAAATTTACTTACTATTCATTATGCGTTCCTGACTCCTTATAATCCTCTCGTATAGGGATTTTGCAGGTGCCTTCTTGGTACCATGTATAGTTGTTGTGGTCAGGTCTTTCAGTTTCCAATGGGTCCAAAAACCTTTTTGAGGTTTCAAACCTGTTAATAATAAAACATACAGTCAGCCAAAGAAATTAGGATTTTGAAAAATTTTTTTGATCTGTCAAAGCCTTTTTATGAATATTATACATTTTATTCTCACAACAGTCCTGTGAGGATTGTCAGTCTCAAGTTTTTAATGAGGGAACTTTTATATAGAAATGTCATATTATATTAATCAATGAATTAGAAAACAGCTGAAGCTTGATATGTACTCTTTTGATTCATAGGCATATGCTAAGTTCACATATGAACATAAAAGGCTAACAATTGTAAAAACTTGGAAAGGACCTTAATATCCAACAACAGCACATCCATACAGTGGATTTCAGTATCCAGTAAAGCTACCTTGCATATATTTGTTAACATAGAAAGGCATTCATGTTTTTATGTGAAGAACAATTTTACCTTCTATGTAATGTGACTACAGCCTAAATGTTAACATGATTGCCTCTGAGCATAGGTGATAATTGTTTACAAATTTCCCCTATCTATATCTCCTATTATTTTAAAAACTAGAGGCCTGGTGCATAAAATTCATGCATGGGTGCGGTCCCTAGGCCTGGCCGGCAATCGAAGCATGAGCGTCTGGCGTGGAAGGGCAGGGTTCCAGTTGACCTCTGGGCCCTGGGCAGCACCTGGGCTCCCGAGCCCCTGCACGCCCCCTCTGCCTGAGTCATCGGGCCCTTGCCCAGTTCTCTCAGAGCCTGAGAGCCAGGCAGCAGCCCTGCCCCCTGCTGCTGCCACTGGTCGCCATCTGGGGGCCAGCGCACATCATAGCGAGTGGTTGAACTCCCATTCGAACTCCCGGTCGAGGGGACAATTTGCGTATTAGGCTTTTATTATATAGGATCGTATTTTTTAAAATATTTTATTGATTTTTTTACAGAGAAGAAGGGAGAGGGATAGAGAGTTAGAAACATGATGAGAGAGAAACACCGATCAGCCAGAGAAGAAGGGAGAGGGATAGAGAGTTAGAAACATGACGAGAGAGAAACACCGATCAGCCACCCCCTGCACACACCCCACTAGGGATGTGCCCGCAACTAAGGCACATGCCCTTGACCAGAATCGAACCCGGGAACCTCCAGTCCGCAGGCCGACGCTCTATCCACTGAGCCAAACCAGTTAGGGCATATAGGATAGTATTTAAGAATCAATTAAAGTACCCCAAAAGTAGTAAGATATATTTCATTTACAAAGTTCCACTTTTGTTCCAAAAGATGTGTAGGGTTGAATAATTTGTTTAACCACAATAAACATTTGTAGCCTGAGCAATAAAAATATATATAGATATAAATTTATTTGTGTATTTTATGTGTTTGTTCTGAAGGTTATTGAGATAATATATGTTAAAATGTTCAGTAAGTGGGAACCATGAGCTAACATTATTACTATACATCAACATACTCATAAATGTAATCAATATTTTCTCTGTAGTGAGTGTTCAATGAGGATTATTTGCTATATTCAGCTATCAAATTAGAATTTTCTGAGTGTTTTTAGATTCAGTTATGTAGATAAAAATGCAACAGCTTTCAGTTTGCTTAACTTGAATGCTTCTTGATAGATTGTCTTAAAATATAATGTATTAATATAAAATTTGAGGAATAGTAAGGCCAACACATTGATGATTTACAGTGAAATGATAGTTTATTACTCAGTTTCCAAGAGGAGGGGGTACTCCATGCCATGGGAGGTCACATAGGGAAGGAAGCACAGGGGTTGGTCAGGGGGGAGACTGTGGGTAGGAGCCTTTATTGTGGTTTCTGTGGGAAGAAATGGATGAGGCAGAGAAAAAGGCTTATGAATGGCTAGTTTGAATAATCTCAGTGGCTCTGGGGTATAGGTGCTGTTCCCAGTTGTCTGATACCTGATCCTAGGATGATTAGGGCAAGTAGATAGTGGCCTAGAGTGAGAGCCCAATCAAGGAGGTGTTTGAGGTGTGGGCTCTGGATTGGTTGGTTTGTATTTGAAAAGCATGCTCATGAGTGAGTTATTTAATAGCTCTAGGAGTTGGCTAACATTGGGAGGGGCAGTCCTTCCAGGGCCAGCAAGACCCCAAATATCAAAGCATCAGAATACAGAAAACAAAAGAAATAGTTAGTACAGTCTATTGTTGAATAATCCTTCCATTTCTGTAATAAACCCTACTAGGTTCTGATATATAAGCAAAGACGACATTCAGCAAACACTTTTTTTAAAATAAATATATTTTATTGATTTTTTACAGAGAGGAAGGGAGAGGGAGAGAGAGTTAGAAACATCGATGAGAGAGAAACATTGATCAGCTGCCTCCTGTACATTCCCTATTGGGTATGTGCCCGCAACCAAGGTACATGCCCTTGACCGGAATTGAACCTGGGACCCTTCAGTCCACAGGCTGATGCTCTATCCATTAAGCCAAATTGGTTAGGGCTCAGCAAACACTTTTGAAGGCCTACTATGTGCTAAACTATGTATTTGACACAAGGGACCCAAAATTCAACTCAATTTAGATACTGCCTGACACCAAGGCAGATGTAAAATTATTTGGCACAGTACCTGGTCCATAGCAAGCATTTAATGCAAGTTAGCTTCTCTGTTGCTTCTTTTCCAAATTAACCACTGTTTGAGCTGTGACTGCATCCCAACATTATTTACAAGTAGCAAATTTAAATTTGTAACTAAGCATTTACTCTGTTTTTTTAAAATATATTTTATTGATTTTTTACAGAGAGGAAGGGAGAGGGATAGAGAGTTAGAAACATCAATCAGCTGCCTCCTGCACACCCCCTAATGGGGATGTGCCCGCAACCAAGGTACATGCCCTTGACTGGAATCGAACCTGGGACCCTTCAGTCTGCAGGCCGACACTCTATCCACTGAGCCAAACTGGTTAGGGCGAAACATGGACTCTTTTAAATAACGGCATTAATATAGGACCATCACATCCAAAATAGTGTGTTTTATGTCTTTAACTTTTAAAAAATTGTTAAATTTTAAGGTTTTACAGCTTTATTGACATATAACATTGTGTAAGTTTAAGATTTAATTTGATAAGACACATATATTATAATACTTACATACCGGTAAAATGATTACTGCCATAATTTTAACTAACACCTCCATTATGTCACATAATTACCATTTCTTTTTTATGATGAGAACATTTAATTTACATTCTTAGCAACTTTCAAGTATATAATATAGTATTAGTACCTATAACTACCATGCTGTACACTGTATCTCTAGAACTTACTCATCTTATCACGGAAAGTTTGTAACCTTTGACCAACATCTCCCCATTTCCCCTACACCTCAACAATTGATAATCACCATACCACTTTATTTCTATGAATTTGACTTTTTTTAGATTCCACATATAACTGATATCATACAGTATTTGTTTTTCTCTGTTTATTTCAGTAAGCATAATGTCCTCAAGGTCCATCCACATTGTTACAAATGACAAGATTTCCTTCTTTCTCATGGCTGAAGAATATTCTATTGTTTATGTATACCCATCTTCTTTATCCATTTATTAACTGACAGTAACTTAAGTTGTTCCTGTATGTTGGCTATGGTAAATAATGCCTCAATGAACAGAGGAGTGCAGATATCTCTTTGAGCCCCTATTTGCATTTCTTTGGGATTTATACCCAGAAGTGGAATTGTGGGGCCATACAGTAGTTCTGTTTTTAATTTTTTTTGAGGAACCTCCATACTATTTTCCATAGTGGCTGCAACAATTTATATTTCTATCAACAGTGCACAAGGGTTCCCTTTTCTTCCCATCCACATCAATACTAGTTATTTGTTGCCTTTTTATAATGGCCACTCTAACAGGCATAAGGTGATACCTCACTGTAGTTTTGATTTACATTTCCCTTATGATAAGTGATACTGAATACCTTTTTTCGTATCTGTTGGCCATCTGTATGTCTTCTTTAAAAAAATATCAATTTAGTTCCTCTGTCCATTTTTTAAAACAGATTTTTTTTTTGCTATCGAGTTGTATGAGATCTTTATATATTTGGAAATTAATATTACTTAATAGACATATGATTTAAAAATATAATCTATAAGTTGCTTTTTCATTTTGTTGATGGTTTCCTTTGCTGTGCAGAAGCTTTTAATTTGATGCAGTTCCACTTACTATTTTTTTGTTTTTCTTTCTTGGACTTTTGATGTCATATTAAAAAAAATTTCCAAGACAAATATCAAGTGATTTCCCCCTATGTTTTCTTATATCAGTTTTGCAGTTCACTAGTGATGTTTACATCATTAATCCATTTTGAGTCAAGTCAATTTTTGTGAGTGGTAATAAAATAGGAATCCAATTTCATTCTTCTACACGTGGTTATCCAGTTTTCCCAACACCATTTATTGAAGAGATTATCTTTTTCCCATTGAGTATTCTTGGCTCCATTGTCAACCATTAGTTGAGCGTATTTGTGAGTGTATATTTCTGAGCTCTTGATTTTGTTCCATTGGTCTATGTATCTATTATTATGCCTGTAACATACTGTTTTGATTACTATAATTTTGTAGCATAATTTGAAATCAGAAAGTATGAGGCCTCCAACTTTGTCCCTTCTCAGGTTTGCTTTGGTTATTCAGGGTTTTTTATCATTCCATATAAATTTTAGGATTCTGTATTATATTTTTGAAAAGTGCCATTGGAATTTTGATAGCAATTGCACTGAATTTATAGATGGCTTTGAGTAGCATGGGCATTTTAATATTGATTCTTCCAATCTATGAACACAGGATATATTTCCCTTTGTTTGTACCTTCTTTAATTTCTTCCATTGAAGTGTTGTAGTTTTTAGTGTAAAGTTTATTTATTCTCCTTGTCTAAATTTATTCCTAAGTATTTTATTGCTATTAATGCTATTGTCAATGAAACTGATCTTTACAACTTTTTCAGATATTTCATTGTTAGAGAGATGCAACTAATTTTGTATAGTAATTTTGTATCCTGAAAAATCAGTATACAGAAATTTGTGGTGTTTCTCTCTCCTTAAAATATGATACACTTTCTGATAGCAATGGTTTGGTTACTAAAGATAGACACAAAACAGTTTTTAAAATCAGTCAAAACTTAAACTGGAAGATTTACAAGAAGCACTACTTGAAAACTGTCAACAGCTTCTGGTAGTCCATAATAGCACAATGTCTTAGAAAAAATGTTGGAAAGGTCATTCCTGGAATATGTAACTATATCTTAGTTTTAAATCTAAGTACCTAAATTTCTAGCTAAATATTCTAGAACTAGAGGCCCGGTGCACGAAATTCGTGCAAGGGGAGGGGTCTCCTTAGTCCAGCCTGCACCCTTCTCCAATCCGGGACCCCTCAGGGGATGTCCAACTGCCGGTTTAGGGATCGGGCCTAAACCGGCAGTCGGACATCCCTCTCATAATACTGAACTGCTGGTTCCTAATCCCTCACCTACCTGCCTGCCTGGTCGCCCCTAACTGCCCTTCCCCCCCCCCCCGTGCTGGCCTGATCGCCCCTCACTGCCTCTGCATGCTGGCCTGATCTCCCCTAACTGCCCCCACTGCCGGCCAGCTCACCCCCAACTGCCCCTTCCCTGCTGGCCTAGTCATTCCTAACTGCCCCCCACCCACCAGCCTGGTCACGTCTTACTGCCCCCCCTGCTGGCCTGGTGGTAGGTAGCCATCTTGTAAGTGTGTGACAGTCAATTTGCATATCACCTCTTTATTATATAGGATAGAATTTTACTTCCCTTTAGCCTTTCATTCCTACCACTCCTATCTACAAGCACATCATAATTCAAAAAACAAGTTTCTTTTATCAATGGTTGTATGTTCTATGAGGAACTCAATTAGCTCTAGAATTTACTGAATATTATGTTATAAATATTATTCTCAAAAGCAGCTTAACCATTTGTACTCCATAAGCATCTATAGATGCAAGCAGTGAACCTTTTTAAATTAAATTCAAAATATCGTGGCAGTTAACTGGTTAAAATATGTATCTTCCAAATATAAAATGTATGCGCATGACTATAGCAATTCAATTTTCTGCAATAGTTACACTGCCTATAAAATTATTTGGTTTCTAAACATAATAACTGATTAATTTTAGTATTATAAAATTTTAAAAAGAGATTACTCATTATTATTTTAAAATATAGGTATCCATATAGCATGTTTTGTAAGGCAAAGAACTACCTATCCTTTTGACTGAAACAAACAAAATCCAAAAGTTTTAGGTACTAAGATAATGATCAATACTTAAATGACGTAATCATACCTGACAACCAAAGATAAATGTTATTCCCTAGATCTTCTTTAAATTCATCATTAAAGAGATCACTGGATTCTGGAAATGCTTCCTGGAATGCTACATAGATAGCTTGTGTCAAACAATCAGGATACACCTACCAAAAACATATTAGAATAATTTCATATTTCATATAACATAGCTCAGCTACCAAATAAGTTATTAAGTTGGTGAAATATACATGTCCCTTTTTTGTTATAGCTTGCTTTTGGCCATTTATTATCTCTTTGTAACTTTAATAGAGGAACGTAAAGAAGAGTTAAAAGTAAAGTCAGTCAGTTTGCCTATTTGATAACATTTGGGGAAATTTTTTAACTTGGATAAAGGATGAAATTAACAATTAAGATAAGGTTTGATGAATACATATTTATTTAGTTTTACCTTGCAATTATTATCCTCTTTTATAAATTAAAATGTACAGATAATAATTAAAGAGTATATAAATATAATTGACATATAATATTGTGTACATTTAATGTGTACATGTGTTGATTTAATATATTTATATATTGCAATATAGCCTTAGCTAATACCTCTGTTAAGTCACATAATTATCAGAGAATAAAAAGCATATTTTTAAATAATCAAAGCCTGTTTAGGTGAGTTAGTATATTATAATCATTACTAGAGGCCCGGTGCACAAAAATTTGTGCACGGGGGGGGGGGGGCCCCCCGCCCGGCCCG